AATCTAGCTTGCAGGTGCTCGCTCCTTTGATCAATGTTTTCTTCACAAGTCTGATGTGAAGTCTCTCCCGCATGGCTACCCACGTATATCACAACAAAATGATGTCAGAAGAATTATCAACAAAAACAGTCGTTCCAATCACCATACTACTCTGAAAAATAGTAAAGATTATGATAGTGAATTCTCTTCAAAAAAATCATTACTCCACAACATATCCTCAAAACTCTTATCTCAATAACTATATTATAGCCCTTGGACTTTAAAACCCCAACAGATAGCAAATTCTTTCTGATATATGGAACATGTTTAACATCGATCAGCTCTCTCATAGTTTACTCATTCAGCCTGATAAAGATACTCCCTACACCAATAGTACGATAAGTTTGATCGTTACTCACAGCTATTGAAATGTTATCCAGCTCCTTGTACTTACAAAATCATCATCGATTGGGACAAATGTGATGGGTAGCACAAGTATCCAGAATTTAGCACAAATCATCTATAAACAAACTGTGAAAAACTGCATATAACACGAATTCCTGCAATAGCCCAAACTCCGCACCCAGTCTCTAGCCTGCCTCCAATCTGCACGTCAGACCACCTGAAAATTCTCTAACAACATATGTCGAATTTGTTGTCTTCAATGCTAAACCTCGCTACGATCACGAACCTGAAACTTTGATACCAATTGTCATGCGAAAACAAAGTGGAAGTGTAGAAATTTACGCAACAAAAATTAAACACAAAAGATTTATGTGGTTCGGTGTTAAATTAATTCGCAAACAACCACGATGAGAGAGATTTCACTAGCATCGGATGAGATAAAGAAAAACTGCTTGGGATTATAACTCAACACTTCTCCTCTACACCTCTCTCAAGAATATTAAGTTCACTCTTATAGAGGAGTCTTAGAGCATAAAAGAAATAAAAAAGAATACAAATCAAATAAAATAATACCATAAAATACAACAAAAAATACATGAAAGCTATAATTCAAGTAAGAAACTATACCAGCGTCCACCATGGGTTCGAGCGCAAACCCCTCAGCACCATAGCAACCATCACCTTCTGTTGAAGCATTACACAGGCCCCGTGATTCTTCTCTAATTCTATCATCTTCTAAGTTCTCCGTCGAAACAACTTCCACAACCTTCGAAGCTTTTAGAACATCATTATCTTCCAAACCCCGCATGCAAACATCACCTAAACCCTCACATTTCTCACCAATCCCATCATCTACAGAACTCTTACCCTTCGCTTCCAATTTTTCAATACATTGATCAGCGTCTTTCACTTCCCCTGCCTGGCAAGCAGACCCACTCGAATCCATCCTATTCTCCTTAACCTCGGCAGCAGCAATCTCAAGAAAAGAGGGACCCATTTCCTCCATGGCCTCATTCAAATAATCTCTAACCAACCTCAATCCCACTTCGGCATCCCTGTCAAAGAGTTCCTCCCCACCTTCCCCGCTCAAGGCGCAAACCTCTATCCTACCTGCCAATTCAACAAGCTTCTCCGATACGAGACCAACCGCCGCTTCCGATTTGTCGATATCGGCGATTCTCTCCTTCCATATCCTCTTAACGGCGTCGGCAAATTCCTCAGCGCCCCTCCGACGAGCGGCGGCGGTGCACTCGAGAGCAGCGGCACAGTATGCTTCCTTCAGTCGATTAGAAGGCCCCGCACCGTGGATGCGGTTGTGCTCCTCAATGAGCTCGAGGGAGTGAAGAGTGCGTTCGGATAAAGAGCGAGAGTGGGTATCGAAATCAAGGCGGTGAAGGAGGAGGGTTTTACGAAGGTGGTGGTGGAAGGAGGAGGAGAAAGGGAGAGAGAAGAAGATTGCGTTAGCCAGACGGTTAGGTATTGGTTGGCGGAGGGCGAACTCAAGGATCCACGAGTTGGCGATGTCGTTCGCCGGTGGAGAAGATCCTGGGGAGGCGAGAGGGTGGCGAAGAAGCTCCGGCGATAACGATGACGATGGGCCGGAGGAGGAGGAGAGTTTGGACATTTGGGTCGGGAAGGTTTCGTCGGATTTGAGTTGTGAAACGCGGCAAAGAGCAGCGGCAACGGGAAGGAGAAGGACAAGGTCGATTGGGAATCGGTATTTATATAGTTGCGGTGGCCGGTCGGGTTGCGGTCCGAGGTCGGGCCATACCGCTGCCCGAAAACTGTGACGGTACATATCAAAGTTTACTCAAATGTCCCTAAAAAGTTAATTTAGCTAACTTTAGCACCCACGCATATTTAAATACATTGTAGTGGCAAGAAAAGTTATTTATATGCAAATTATGAGCCTTTCTGAAAAAAAAAAAGAATTTTTGAGCTAATGCTAGCTAAAAATAATTATTTTTAAATAATAATAATTTAAATATTTATTTTTGAGTCCGGTGGTAACTTAATTCAAACAAATGAATTTGAATCAAGTTGAGCACAAACAAGCCTTTAACGAATTACTTAGAACAAGAACTTATTTCGAATAGAAATATTTTCGAATGAAAAAAACACGAATAAGAGCTCGGCTTGTTTACACCCCAGCATCTAAATTTTGTTTATCAATAAAATTAACATTTTTATTGAATGAGGTTTTATTATAT